GGGAGTGTGGTTGTGGAGCGGGCCTTCTGCAACACCACATTTTACCTTCTGTATGTCTACTAACATGTTCCAAAACGGCGTGCCCACTCATTTCTGTATTTAGTTTACAACAACACTGTTTTTGGACATTTGCAAGCAAACCAAAGTGTTTCATGTCATTTGCATTTCAAAGCTATAAATCGGGGGTGTCCAAACTTCGGGGGGGGGTGGGAGTGTGGTTGTGGAGCGGGCCTTCTGCAACACCACATTTTACCTTCTGTATGTCTACTAACATGTTCCAAAACGGCGTGCCCACTCATTTCTGTATTTAGTTTACAACAACACTGTTTTTGGACATTTGCAAGCAAACCAAAGTGTTTCATGTCATTTGCATTTCAAAGCTATAAATCGGGGGTGTCCAAACTTCGACCCGGGGCCCAATTGCGCAGGCTGCGGTTTATATTCAAATTCACATTTGATTACACCCATGTCGTTTTTGCTTACACTGTCGTACTTTCCAACCCCCCCCGCCTCCCACCGCACCAAAAACCCATCGTCTCGTTTCCCAACTAAAACTGTGAAATAAATAAAAAAATAATTTGCTCACATACACCGCAATGAATAACGAAGGTGAAGAATGTATGCGGCCCGCGGAGTATAACGCTTGGACACCCCTGCTATAAATGAATGTATCATCAGACTGTAAAAAAAAAAAACAAAAAACCAACAACAAAAAAAAAAAAACATTTGCACCCATGTGAATGGAGACTATTTTTGAACTCTATGTGTACATAGCTTAGTCCTTATTAACTGATGGTTATATTTTATACTGTATGCTTGTGAATGGTCTGCTATTTTCACTGTAAAGTACGTATCTGTATGCCTGCCTCATTTTCCAAGACGTCTTTTTAATTGTGTGTCTGGCTGCAATGTTTGTGCCTGCCTTGCGAACATCACCGTCATGCGTTCAACCGTGACATCATGTGACCGCGGGAAAACTGCAGGAGCTCAGGTGGGCTGGCTCACTTCAACTATAGTCAATTGTTGTCTCGCGCGGAAATGGATTGCATCTGATGTATGTTGATGAAGAAAAAAAAAACATGGTAATAAATTTGTTATTATCTTTGCTAGGGCTGAATTATGCAAATGTGTTCCCCCACACCCCCATTAAACGGCTCCTCTCATGGATTGAATTAGATTGGCAAAATACCGTATACTGAAAGGAATCGTGTATGCTGCTAGGACAACAAAGCAAATATTTCAATATTTTATGATAATTTTGCTGATTGCAGCTTGTCGCTACGAAAACTCAAATTTGACAATGTAGAAGGAAATAATACAGATATCAGGTGGGAACTTTTTCCCGTGTTTAATTAATCTAATACCTCTTTGAATTCTTTGAATTGAACTATAGAAAGTTTATTTCCATAGATTATGTACAAATGCATTGAGATGCGTTATTGAGGTCAGAAATTAATTTTATTTTATTGCGAAATTCAAAAAACATCTAAGTTGAATGTGCAAAGCTGAAAAAAATTAGCTTGAGGAAGCAACAGTGAATAAATATTTTCTATTCAAAAATAAATAACCCCAGTTTTACTTGTACGTGCTGCTGTATTATCACTAACAAAAGTCTCAGGTTTGAAAAATGATGGGAGCACAAGATTATGAAACGTGTGCCAAAATATACCATCTCAATATACCTGAATGGGATCACGTCCATATTTGAACCTCTCTCGATCCCAGCCATGTCCTTAATATCTTTTTACCTCAGCGGGTTTATCTCAGCCAGGAGTATTTTTCCTTCAGATTGCAGAATTTCCAGCATCTGCAAGAGGAGCACCACATTCTCTCCTTTGGACGCCTTCACCACTTTGCAGACGTGTGCCCAGTGCATCCCTCTGGCCATCTCCAGCAGAGTCTCGGTGTCGCCCGCAATGCTTAACGCTCGCTGGTCCGTCCAGCCCAGCGTCACTCTTGGAAAGGAGTGCGCCTCCAGGGCGCGTGCCAGCGTGCGCCCTACTACGTCGGTGGGATGCTCGCAGCCCGGCGGCCTCTTCTCTCGCTTATAGCATACGATGAGATGCGCCAGCATACATGACCCCGCCTCCAGGAGGGTGTGGTTCAACACCTTTGTGGAATTCAGGCTGGAGTCGCCCGCTTGTGCGCTTCGGATAAGCGCCGCCCTCCAATGTATGTCGGTGACGAGCTCCAGCGCCGTGCGGCCCTTTTCGTCTGTTTGATGGAGGAGTTCAGAACCTGGATGAGACCATCACATATACATATATAATATATTAGAACTTAACGATTTGGAAAATAATTTTTTTTTCTCATTTATTTGAAATGACAAACAAATGCATTGTGGGGGGGAAATTTAAATAGCTTTTAGAACCTGATTTCTAGTACTGACTCTGAGTCCAATTTTGTGGAGTCCGACCGCCAGTGTCGAGCCTGCGAGTCAAGCGGGCCCTTTTGTTTGCGTTTGGAAACAAGCATTTTTTTGCAGCCACCTGCTCTCGAGGCCACTTGACTGCTCAGCCTCACCACTTGAGAGCCGAGCGCACAGCTCCATGTGTGACACACAAACAGGTGAAGAGCTGTCAAAAGCCATTTTGAGAGTTGTTGCCCATCGACGCGGCGCACTCGTGGTGGAAAAGGTAAAAGGCTATCATACATGGCAATTTTCCGCGGAAATCCGCCGTTTTATTTCTTAAATTGATCATTTTTGTGAATCGTCTAAATCCATTGAGAAAATTTTAGGGGCGGTCAGGTACCTTATCGTCGAGTTTTCACGAGCTCTCCCGAACAGTCTCTCCGTTTTCCGTTTGTAAACAGCCCTGCGATTGGACGTGTATGAAAGCTTCAACTAATCAGATCACTGAAGGCATTATTTGTTGCGGAAGTCCTAGCTCGATTATAAACGGCCCAGCGATTGGTTAACTACAAGCGATTGGACCAATCAAATTGCATGTAACATATCGTTTTACCTGATTCATGGCGGCCTGTTCGTCTCGCAAATTCATTGTTCTGGGATCGTTTTGAGCGGAATTATGACATTTTTGACGAAAGATCAGG